TCGCTTACTCGAGGAAATTACGCGCGATTATATTCAGAAGAGAGACCGGGGAAGACGTTAAAACGCCTAACTGTATTTCGCCGGAGAATTCGAAAAATCATCGCACCGAGATCATTGATCCTTGATCTTTGTAACGACGCGAGGCCTCCGGGATCCTCGTTTGCCGGAATGATTTTTTGCCTTTCCGCTCGATCGATCCCGACCGGCGCGGCGCGGCGCGGCCGCGCGGTGATCACAGCCGACTCCCACTTCCTCGATCACTCCGTCGAGTAACCCCGCGGCGTAATCCAACTCGGCACGCACATCGGAATCCAAACGCACTACGTACGATCGAGATCATATCGCGTAGCGGCGACGGCGGCGGTGGCAGCGATACGCGCTCGCGATTCCACCGGAAATATCCCGCAATAATCCACCGACGTTCGACAGAACCTTTTATCGTGTGACTCATTCGCGGCAAACTCGTCCCCGACGAACCACGCCTCGCTGAGGCGAGCCAGGACAAGCCGAGACATATTTTTCATTGGCCACCAAGATCCCGCGAGAGTCCTGTTCTATGTCAAGATCGTCGATTTGCCATCTAAATACACCGTTTGATAACCTCCAATAATGTTCAATATTACATCAGTGTTTTCCTTTCTTTCTTTAAAGATCCGTCTGCTTTACACACTTTGAGAGTTCAGAAGTTCAATTCATCTCACACAAGATATGAAATATTAAACGTATCCTGTTTGCGCGGAAGATGATAACGAGTTACGGGAAGCACCGACTTTTAAATGAAGGCGAAAGAAAAGTTGAGACTTTGATCTAATCTTGTAATCTTCTTGCGGGAGAAGGGAAGCGAGTTTCTTCATTGTGCCTTTAGCTATTAAATTGTCGTCTTCAACGTCGATAACTTGACTATCAAGATAATGACACGGTAATAATCTATAGTAAATTTGATTAAACGGTAAATTGCACTGTCAATCGACACTTCTGGATAGAATATTTGTATATACGTTTATGCTTGTCAACATCTCGATACTCCATTTCTAATTTGGTGAAGACTATCAGTTAACTACCTGTAAGGAACCGATTGATCATTGATCAGGAATCACAGAATGGGAATCAGGGATCAAGATCGAAAATGTGAGGATCGAAATAGCGATCATCGAATCGTATTGATCCTGTTTCAAGATCCAAGGAAGAAGAAAACTCATTTCAGGTTTTCTTTCCATCGTCCCGTTGCAATCACTAGCAACTCGAATATCCTGGATTATTCTCGATGATCTTCGAGAGTTGGTTTCAATCATTCGGTCGGCCGACTCAGGATTAGCGAAACGAGAGAACAACGATCGGCCGGATGTCGATCCAAAGTCAGCGCGAGTCCCCCCCCCCCCCCCCCCCCCCCCCCCCCCCAAAAAGTGAAAAATTGGCAGAATCGCGACGAGTCCTGCCCTAGGATAACTTGACACTCCAGCTCGTCCAAGCATCAGCGAGCGACTGAGGGCTGCAGACAGCGGGCCCAGAAACGGGGCCCGCCACGCCATGGCCCCGGCTCACGAGTCCCCCTCGCCGTGTCTCTCAGGACCAGTTCGGTCGCTTCGTCGCTGCCTGCGAGGGAAGGATGCTGTGTGCACCGGAGGACTCCCCACCCGCGGGAAACCTATGTCCTACGTCCTACGTCGTGCATTCCGCGTCCTGCGCGGCCTGCGCGGCCTGCGCCCCGTCGATGCCGGCCGAGGGCCTTCCCCACCTGATCTTGGCGCACGCATTTCGCGCCCTCGATCAAGACGCACGGCAAGATCGCTCTCGTGTTTTCCGGCGCGTGACGAGATTTTGTCCATCCATTAGGAATAAAATAATATTCTACTGTTATGCGTACTTTCTCAAACTTTTAGAGTAAAATTTCACTCTTCAAAATTAAAAATTGAGTCTCTCTCTTATTCAAGACTACTCAATTTTCACTCTTTACAGTGAAATTCCACTCTAAAGAACTTAGGGAGTAGAAATATCTTGTACTATTTTATATGCAAGAATATATATGATATTAAAACTATTTTAGTCTAAAAAGTTAGTCGAACATTTAAACGCAAAATTTTAATTAAATACCTATATTCACAGAAGAAAATTTTGAGAAAGATAAAAACCGTGATTTGTTATCCTTAAATGTTTTACTAATTTAAAATTTAAGATAATAGAATTCACATTAATTTTGTTATATTAAAATAATTTGCCAGCTGATTAATTTATTTGATTAATATTAAGATTCAATGCCAAATAGCTCATATTTTGATATCTGTTTTCCTTAAATAATATCCAATTCAACAATACGTACTGAATTAATATATTAAATAATTCAAATAAATATTTTATATATATTTTTCTAAACAATTAATAAAAATATTATTAAATTAAACAAAAAAATAAAAAGTAATTAATGCTTACAGATATAGTCATCAGAATCATTTTCTATATACTTACAGATTTTTAAATTAATTTTTTCATTAGCAATTTTCCCCTGCAGAAATAAGATTATATAAAACAACTGTGTTCTTGTCTCCAATTAATAAAGTGTAACCTAGTTAAAGTGATACTTTAACTAATTTATATTATGCTATAATGCATATAATCACTCCGATAATATATTCATCTCGTGAATCAATGGCAAGTTAATTAATTAATTAGTCATTCTCCGAATGGAATGAGCTCATAAATAAGGGTAACCAGTGAACAAGGCATAATAATTCGTTTATGGTGAAGCTATGGATTCGCTAACTCGTTTGTCCCCTTCCTTTGCGGCTGTTTGTGCTGCCAATAGCGTCATGTGCCCCCTGATGGCCCACCTGGCCCAACCTCTTCGCATCCGACGGGAGCCAATCGCGTGTCTAACGTACGATCTAATGCTACGCTCGTAACGGGTGTCGAAAGTGGAGGGAGTTCGTCGCGCTTACAAGTCGCTTGGTTCCGAGCGATTTTAGATCGTCGCGCTGCGTCGCGCGATCGTACCTGGCCGGCGCGGCGCGGCGCGGCGGTGCTATCGTTCATATCGCCATACAGAATCCCGTTTCAAAATTAAAATTCCTTTTTCAACACGCTTGGAATATCCTAGAGAAACGAGATCTCGACTTTCAACATTCTAAGCCTTTTCACGCGAGCAATAAAATCAACCCCAGATGAACAAACAAGCTTTTCAAAGAACAGGAACTGCCCACGTGTATTTTAATTATATTTAATAAGATCTTTATATATATATATATATATATACAAAACGCGTCTCGGTATTTTAGAGACTTTTTTCTTCTTTAAAATTCTTGAAATTTTATGCTACATGTTATATATAATTATAGAATTAATTAAATATATTACTTTTGCAAATAGCAACAATAAATCTTCCTTTTTTTTTTCCTGTAACGGAAACATGCGCGTGAAATCATTGCTCGTGAGAGTTTATTTAATACCTTGCAAATTAAAGTTTTATAAGACGCGACGCGCGAGCGCACGGGAGCGTTCTCTTTTCTTTCCTTTTTTAAACGTGTGTATATATGAGATTGGTCCAGCTACGGGAATCAGGTTCGGTAACTTGTCCCATCCATCACTAACCCGGACAGCCAGATGTTCGCAGGGGGTACAATGGTCGGTATAAGGTATTACCCCTTCGTGCATAATGCTTCCAGCAGAAATTATCCAGCGGCACCCTTCGCACTCGGCCGCTCTCGGACATAGAAAATTTTGGATTTTACGTCTGGTAGGATCTTTTCTCCTACTGTGCGATGCAGTATCCTGCCTGCTACAAAAGCGCGAAAACTGCTTCCCCCGGATGATCCGCTACTTGAACGCGAA